CAGTTCTTAACTCAAATCTAAGTACTTAAGTCAAGTCAATGTTTTCCTATGAGAGCAGTTCTTAAGTCAAAATGTTCCTAACTCAAGCCGTTCTTAAGTCAAGACCCCACTGTAGTTCTCTTAATATCCTCCTTAGTCAGAGAATGAAATAATCCTCCTTTCCCCCCAATATTTTATAAAGACACAACTTTCCATGGAAATTTAGGACACCTGTCCTTCATGAGAAAATTATATCCCATACCATACACTTACCATATTTTTCCATGTATAAAATGACACTTTCCCCTAAAATAATTTGAGGAAAATTGAGGTTCATTTTCTACACGTAAGGCAGCAGCAGGAGGCGGAGACTGAGGCAAAGAAGCAGCCGTGCTTGGCCGCCGCTCATGGCTGCCCATTGACTGCTGTCGCCGCCGCCCGATCATGCCCTCCAGCGATCATCTTGAGATCCAGCAGTGGCACAGCAGTCAATGGGCAACAGCGAGGGGTGGCTGAGCCCAGCTGCTTCTTAGCCTCAGTCTCTGCCTCCTGCTGCTGCTGCCTCCAGTGCTAATTGCGGGCTCAGTGATCATGCAGCCATTTGATCCCTACTTTTCCCTTCCTTTTGCTAAGGCCCAGGTTTAGGAAGTGGCGGGGAAAGCAGTGATCGAATTTTCAAATTTGAGGTTAGAAAAGGGGGGGAGTTGTCTTATACATTGGGTCGTCTTATAAATGGAAAAATGCGGTATATTCCCCATCCCAGAATGTTTAGATTGTAGTGTTTTAAATTTCAGATTATAGTTAATTATGAGAGATTGTAAGGTGTAAACAAATGTCCATCAGACTGACATGTGATTGTTAGCGATTGGCACATGTACTTATTTGAATTTGTATTCAGTGACTGGCACCTCTAATGAGGGCATTTGCTTGAATTAGCGTTAGGAATGGTTTGCTGCAACATTAGGGATGTAACTCTCCAGCTGCTTCTTTGTTGCATCGGATGATGTCTTTAGGCATAAATCCTAAAGAGGAAAAAACCCTGCAGTAGTTCATCATCTTGGGTCCCCAGAGGTTCTTGGATTGCAATTCTCAGAAGTCTTCACCACTAGCTGTGCTGCCTGGGATTTCTGGAGTTGCAGCCCAAGAATATCTGGGGAACCAAGGTTGGGAACCACTGGTTTAAAGCAAACAGTTATGATGAAACAATAACCTCTAAAGCAAAGAATTCCAGTCCACAGATAACTTCTTTGACTCAGAGCATGGCTATATTGACGCAGCCTATAATGCACTGCATTCTACCTCATGTAAACACTACAGTATAATCCTACTAGCTATTCCACTCTCATATAGCCCATCACTAGTGGCATGGAAAGGGACGTGGTGGCGCTGCAGGTTAAACCACAGAAGCCTTTGTGTGCTGCAAGGTCAGAAGACCAGCAGTCGTAAGATCGAATCCACACAACGGAGTGAGCTCCCGTTGCTTTTCCTAGCTCCTGCCAACCTAGCAGTTGGAAAGCATATAAAATGCAAGTAGATAAATAGGTACTACCATGGTGGGATGGTAACACTGTTCCGTCTCTACTGCCACTGGCCATGTGACCACGGAAACTGTCTATATGCAACAAGGCTGTGTCAGGATGAACCCACACTGGGTGAAAGGGTTTCATCTGTAGTTTGTTTACTTTTGGGGCTTTTGCTTTAACCATAGCTTTAGCTTTAAACCAAAGGTTGGGGTAGGTGGGTGTTTCCCTACTTTTTGAAACATACGAAATGTAGACATCAATACTGAGAAAAAACATCAGTGTTGGAGAGGGGGGCAGTCGGTCTTGAACAACCTTAGAGAAGGGTTTATAAAGCTACAGTTTTAAAGCAGCAAACTATGAACAGCAGCCCTGAGCCTCAAGCTTACCATAGAAAGTAGATCAATTTCTGCACATTGATTCTGCCTATTTTAATGGCTATTCAAGCCTGTCTCTTAAACAGAGAAGTCTTGCATCCTACTGTTGGTTGGCTTTTCAAGGATCTTCTCAAGAAACATGTTCTGGGATCAGATGTGCTCCACACACAAAAAAGTGGGAGAGGGAGATGGAATGCCTTGCCCATTTGGGTAAAACAGACAAGCAAAGACTTCAAACTTTCAGAAGGCAGGACTGAAAGACAAAACTAAAGATCAATGAGTAATGACCATAATAAATAGGGTGGTGGTCTCTCCCATTCATTTCTATGAAAAGAGGTAAAAGCCGGTACTGTAGTTTTCCGCAAATGAAGTGGAGCAACTGCACAGTAAGAGCCATGTCTGGCAGTACCATCTCTTTCAGACCATTTATTTTTCTCAGCAAGAATATTTCCAAATACAATCCCATAGATACGAGACCACGCCCATTTTGAGAATGTCCTCTCATTTTGTGACATTTGTTGAATTCTTAAAACTTTAAAAACAGCACACCTGTGCACCTTACTCTTACCTTGTCCTCCCTTCCCCAGATGATCTGTGTTGGAGCTCTGATCCTCCTCATGTTGTCATGAAGGCTGTATCTGGACTTCGCACTTGAGACATCTAAAAAACCTTTAACAGTGAGGAAGCAATGTTAGCACAAGGTCTACCATCTTTCTCAGAGCAGAGAACATTGAAACCAATAAAGCAAATATGTCAGTGGGGGTTCCTCTTTGAGAAGTGTTACTCTTTGGAATCTTTTACCTTTTTTAAAAGTGTAATATTTCTTCCATCCTTTACATATTTGTAAACTGATTTTAGCTTTAAATATGGTCTTTTAATGAAGTAAGCCACCTTGAGTTCTTTTTAAAGAGAAAGGTGGGGTAAAATATTTTAAATAAATAATAAATAAAATATTCTACAGTTTACTATTATTCAAAAATATCAGGCACAATCAATCCAAATTATAAAAACTTGACTGGTATTCCATAACAGATACAAGGTTTAATAAAAAAACCTAAGTATCTATTAAATATCAACATAGTATATCTGCCGTTACTAATATTCCTTTTATATTAAATAACAGCCCTTTCACGGATTGCTGACTTGTCCTTGCAAAGGGGCTTGAGTAATTCAGAGAAGCTAGGGGCTATGCTGGGCAGGGACACCCAAGACGGACAGGACATAGTGGAGAGTTCTGACTAAAGGCGATCCACGTGGAGCAGGAACTGGCAAGCCACTCCAGTATCTTTGCCAAGAAAACTCCACGGACAGAAACAAAAGGCTAAAGGAAGATGGGCCCCTCAGGTCGAAAGGCATCCAACATGCTATTGAGGAAGAGCGGAGGACAAGTACAAGTAGCTCCAGAGCTAATAAAGTGGTTGGGCCAAAGCAAAAAGGACGCTCAGCTCCGGACGCATCTGGAAGTGAAAGGAAAGTCTGATGCTGCAAAGAAAAATACTGCATAGGAACCTGGAATGTAAGATCTATGAACCTTGGGAAGCTGGAGGTGGTCAAACAGGAGCTGGCAAGAATAAACATTGACATCCTGGGCATCAGTGAACTAAAATGGACGGGATTTCAATTCAGATGATTATCATATCTACTATTGTGGGCAAGAATTCCCTTAGAAGAAATGGAATAGCCCTGATAGTCAACAAAAGAGTGGGAAAAGCTGCACTGAGATATAATCTCAAAAATGATAGAATGATTTCCTATGAATCCAGGGCAGACCTTTCAACATCACAGTATTCCAGGTTTATACACCAACCACCAATGCTGAAGAGGCTGAAATTGATCAATTCTATGAAGACTTACAACACCTCCTAGAACTGACACCAAAGAAAGATATTCTTCTCATTATAGAGACTGGAATGTTAAAGTAGGGAGCCAAGAAATAAAAGGTAAGTTTGGCCTTGGAGTTCAAAACAAAGCAGGGCAAAAGCTAATAGAGTTTTGTCAAGAGAACAAGCTGGTCATCACAAACACTCTTTTCCAACAACACAAGAGGCGACTCTACACATGGACATCACCAGATGGGCAGTACCGAAATCAGATTGATTATATTCTCTGCAGCCAAAGATGGAGAAGCTCTATACGGTAAGCAAAAAGAAGACCTGGAGCTGATTGTAGCTCTGATCATTACCTTCTTATAGCAAAACTTAAGCTTAAACTGAAGAAAGTAGGAAAAACCACTGGGCTAGTCAGGTATAAACCAAATCTCTTATGAATACACAGTGGAAGTGAAGAACAGATTTAAGGAACTAGATTTGGTCAACAGAGTGCCTGAAGAACTATGGATGGAAGCCCGTAACATTGCATAGGAGGCAGCAACAAAAACCATCCCAAAGAAAAGGAAATGCAAGACAGCAAAGTGGCTGTTCAACGAGGCCTTACAAATACGTAGCAAAGAAGGGAAACAACATGCAAGGGAGATAGGGAAAGTTACAGAAAATGGAATGCTGACTTCCAAAGAATAGCAAGGAGACAAGAGGGCCTTCTTAAATGAACAGTGCAAAGATATAGAGAAAAATAATAGAAAGGGAAAAACCAAAGATCTGTTCAAAAAAATGGAGATATTAAAGGAACATTTTGTGCAAAGTTGGACATGATAAAGGACAAAAATGGCAGGGGTCTCAAAAAAGCAGAAGACATTCAGAAGAGGTGGCAAGAATACACAGAGGAAGATCTGGATGTCCCAGACATCCCAGATAGTGTGGTTGTTGGCCTTGAGCCAGACATCCTGGAGAGTGAAGTCAAGTGGGCCTTAGAAACCTTTTCTTCTCACCTGCTCCAAACTTATCTGTTTCCTTAGGTAGAGGCAGCAACCCATCTTCTCTCATTAGGTTAGGGAAATTCTTCACAAGTGTCGTAATCCTTTCCCTTTCTGCCCCCCCCCGTCTCCACCGTCTGTGTCTCTTTATCTATTCCCAACGAACTTCTCCTTCCTTTCCCTCCTTCTTCTTTTATACTGTCATCCCATCTCCACGTCTCTAACTCCTCCCCCCAGTCTCTAGACCTCTCTGCTAGAAACACCTCTATCGCCTTATTAGTCACGCTTTCGTCCACCTTGATCAATTCCCCTACAGCACATCCTTCACACTCTTCTTTCCTGGGCGTCTGTGAGAACGGCTCACTTCTATTCCTCCACTAACACACACATTCAACAAATTCCCATAACGCCACCCCCAATCAAACCCCCTAGGCATCACCTCATTACAAGGTCCACCTGTCTCCTACAGCTGTCAAAACCAGCCTTTAAAGTGCCAGATACACCACAATTTTAGTGAAAATCGCCTTCCAACAAAAAAGCTGCCTCTCATATTGGAAGATGGACTGAAAGTTACAACAAAAACATTTGAAGTATTTGTCAGGGCCCACATCCCAGCAAAGGGTGCCTAGCTCACCCCTAAATCCCCCAAAACTAGATAGGTAGCTACTTTATTGTTTAAGACTTAGATCATTTCAAATTCAAATCTAATAAATACAAACTAATAACAAAACCAACATTAAAAAAAACTAAGATCATGGTCACTAGCCCTTTCACCTCCTGGCAAATAGAAGCGGAAGATATGGAGGCAGTGACAGATTTTACTTTCTTAAGCTCCATGATCACTGCAGATGGTGACAGCAGCTGTGAAATTAAAAGACATCTGCTTCTTGGGAGGAAAGCAATGAGAAACCTAGACAGTATCTTAAAAAGCAGAGACCTCACCTTGTTGACAAAGGTCCGCATAGTCAAAGCTATGGTTTTCCCATAGCGATGTATGGAAGTGAGAGCTGGACCATAAAGAAGGCCGACTGCTGAAGAATTGATGCTTTTGAATTGTGGTGCTGGAGGAGACTCTTGAGAGTCCCCTGGACTGCAAGGAGAGCAAACCTATCCATTCTGAAGTAAATCAACCCTGAGTGCTCACTGGAAGGACAGATCCTGAAACTGAGGCTTCAATACTTTGGCCATCTCATGAGAAGAGACGACTCCCTGGAAAAGATCGTGATGTTGGGAAAGTGTGAAGGCAAGAGGAGAAGGGGATGACAGAGGATGAGATGGTTGGACAGTGTCATCGAAGCTACCAACATGAATTTGACCCAAATCTGGGAGGCAGTAGAAGACAGGAAGGCTTGGCGTGCTCTGGTCCACAGGGTCACGAAGAGTCGGACACGACTGAACAAGTAAACCACAACAAAAAATTCTAGGTTGTTCCATAAGATGTTCCTGTATTGATACATTTTCTTCCAATATTGCATTTATCCCTACCCTCCGTTTGTCTTCTATACTATGTTCATTATTATGTGTTGATTTTTTGGGGGGCACATTTTCTAGTTGTTATAAATGTCAGCATGGTAAATGAATTTCATCAGGAGCTGCCAATACTTTTAGCCCTTCCCAATCTGTTTTGTTTAAAATGTATTCTCTTGAAATGCTGCTTCTTTGTGAAAAAAACCCACAGCATTTCAATAATAATAATTAAAAAATCTCTCTCACTACAACCTAGAATCGGATCCTAGTCATGAATCTTTTCTATTAACCTTTACTGTGGCCATTACTGAGATACTTATATATATAGGTACCAAGTCCATGGTAAGACATGTCTGTTGTTCACCTTCATAGAATGTTGGGTCTCCATCTTTGGGATCCTCTGATGTCAACTTGCAGAAACTCCAACCAGCATGGCCAGAAATATTAGGTAGTAGGAGTTGAAGTCTAAAACATTTGGAGGGCTGATGGTTGTGATCCATCCTAACTGATTATGGCAATGGAGGGGAAATTTGGAAGTCCACGGCCTACGTCCTCTCCAGGTTTAAGCAACATGGGCAGCCCTTCTTACAACACACTTGTGTGGTAAAGTAGCTTCACGTGTTTCTGATATTGTACATGTGCATTCCCAAGGCGGCTTAAAATATTGTAGTGTATAATTTAAAATTGTGCAACACTCAGATATGAATACAGAAGAAAAGGGTTTTCCCCCACCCCATGGTTTTCTTCTGTTGTACCTCATTAACTCTTTGTAGGAATGCAATAAATATATCTTGGTTGGAGTACCATCAGTGGGGCTAACTGTGGGCTTCCTTCCATGAACCACTGCAGCCAGATTATACAGTAAGGATTCTGATACTTACATGTAACAAAAAACATCTTATGTGGTCTCCGATCATGAAGATATCCTTTTAGGAGCTAAGGATGAGAAAGAGACTGGGATGAGCCAGAAATAGAGAAGAGGTGTTCCATTGTAGCAGTGTATAGTATAGTTTTCAAGGCAATATGAAGCAGCATATCAGAATTGACAGTTTCATAGTCCGGGTGTGGGGGATGTTTGGCTTTCCAGATGTTTGGAATTTGAAGGGCCCCCCTCCCAATGGCTCACTATTGTTGTTGACTGGATTTTTTTTAGTGCTGTACTTGTGGTTTCCATTTTTTAAAATTTTCCGTTTCTCAGAGTGCATTTGTTTTTTCTTTTCTTTTTAATATTTCTATACTTATTGTTCTTAGCGTTAATATTGTCTTTTAATGATGTAAGATGGCTCTTTATATTCATTGTTCTTAGCTTTAAATATTGTCTTTTAATGATGTTAGTCACCATTGTATACTCATTATTTTCGATTTTAAATCTTGTCTTTCAATGTTGTAAGTCACCTTGGGTCCTTTTCAGGAAGAAAGGCTGGATGAAACTAATTTGAATGAATGAATGAATGAATGAATGAATGAATGAATGAATGAATGAATGAATGAATGAATGAATGAATGAATGAATGAATGAATGAATTTGGGGGATGCTGTTAATGTTAGTTTAAAACAATTTATCATGATGGGCCCTATCCCAATTCTGGCAACTGGCAAACCAAGTAGGGCTAGAATAGGTAGGTGTGACCTCAGGAAACGGCCAAACTGGGGTGAGAGGGTAAGGGGAAGGCAGGGGAATTTGTGATGGTAGATCAAATGGAATCCAGGAGCATTTTAATTTCCTTCATTCTCTCAGAACAGTGTCTCCTGAGGGCAATGTGGAAGATTTACATAAGATCTTCAACCAGTCTTGGCAACTGAATCGACTGGACTCCAGAGATCTTTTTTCTTGTTGTTTAAGAGTATAGGCATTGGTCTTTCAGTGCCTTGTGACCCTGTTCAACACCTTAGAAAGCTTGCTGTTAAAAAGTTTTAATTCAGTTTTTGATACAGTATATGAAAGCCTTGTTTTCAAGTGCTTGTCACTTCAAAGGCAATTATAAATTGATTGCTTAATAAGGTTGATCTGAAAGAATTATATTTTAGCATAGCACAGATTAGTTTAAAAGTTTGTCATTGAGGTTGCCTTAATTCTTGTTGATATTTGTCCCTGCTTAAAAAAAATTCTTTTCAGAATCCCCCCTCCAAAATGTAAAATAGCAAAAATACAGTTGCAGACTAGTGTTATAGAAATGTGGAGGGAAAACAGAATAAAATTCACATCTGTTCCAGCCTTTTAAATTTACAGTCTAACTCAACATGATTGTCAGTTGTAATCTAGCAAAATGGCACCTGAATATAATTGGTCAGCTGGTTGCTGCCCAGTCCCTTTATTGCAGTATTTTTGACCCTTTATTTCCAGGCTATTAATCATGGCCAGGGCCAGCCCTACCCTTAGGCAGGTTGAGGCAACTGCATCACATAGCAGAAGCTAGAGGTGCCTGCAAGATGTTGAAAGATAGTTCTGTGCCACCCATCTTGCCCTGCACTGCCTAAGCTAGCCAACTGCCTCCTGGTGCAGTAGAATATGCTTTCCCATTGCCACTGCTGAAGGGAGTTATGCTTGCATCCAGCTGTTTTTTTGTACATGGCATAAAAGGGCTACTATCTTGTTCTTTGTTTCTGGCAATAAAATCTCTTGGATAGGCCTTGATTCTAGTAATCATTGACTCTTTCCTTTGGTTTGTTTCCTGTATGTTAAGTGTGCAAAGATAACTGAGCTGATGGTGAGGAGAAGGATAAATACAGTTGCTGCAGATCTTGGAAAGAGTACTGACATCATTATGATTGTTACCTCTTAACAGGTGTTGTTTGTTTTTAGTTGTTTAGTCATGTCCGACTCTTCATGACCCCATGGATTAGAGCAGGCCAGGCCCTCCTGTCTTCCACTGCCTCCTGGAGTTGTGTCAGTTTCATGTTGGTTGCTTCAATGACACTGTCCAACCATCTCATCCTCTGTCGTCCCCTTCTCCTCTTGCCCTCACACTTTCCTAACATCAGGGACTTTTCCAGGGGAAAGGTAACAGGTAACAATCTTATGGTGTCAAGTCAATGATGACTGATGGCAACCCTTTTCAGGGCTTTCCAGGTAGATAATATCCAGAAATGGTTTACCCTTCCCTTCTTCTGGGGGTGGCTCAGGACTGTGCAGTTTGCCCAAGGCCGCATAGGCTGGCTCTACTCACAAGAGACAACGGTGGGGAATCAAACTCCCAACCTCTGGCTCTGCCGCTAGATGCCTGTCCCACTGAGATGTCCAGCTAGCGTACTGACAGGTACCTTCCAATAATGACGCATCCTTTGCATGCTATTTGGGGAAGGAATGTAGACCCTAACTCTTCTTTGCATGAGGGAGATCCCAAGCTCCGTTCCTAGGGTCTTAGCTGGTGTGGGGACAGCTCCTTCCTGCTGCTCTCGAAAGGTGCCAGCAGTTTAATTCAACATTGCTCAATGGGATGGATTGATGGTCTGAGCCAGGAGAAGAAGGTAGCAGCCTTTGGTTTAATGCACTGGTTCTTAACTTTGGGTTACTCAGATGTTTTTGGACTGCAACTCCCAGAAGCCTTCACCACCAACTGTGCTGGCTGGGGTTTCTGGAAGTTGCAGTTCAAAAACAACCGAGTAACAAAGGTTAAGAACCACTGCTCTAGAGTCTAGGAGGTTGACAAAGTCTCCAAAGCAGATTTTAAATGATGGGCTATGGAGGAGCAGCAGATAAGAAAGACTTCTGTGGGAAAGCCATGCTTTAGTGTCCAAGCATGATTGGTGCCAGAATTTGCTTGTTCTCATCTTCCTTTCCCATCTCTTCTGTTCCGTGCCTCTTGGATTGTAAGCCTGGGAATGGAGATTGTCTTATTTTATTTACATTTGGCATCCTACTCTAGTACAATTATCATCCAGAAATAAAATTTACAGTTTTTACTGCTGCTACTGTTTGTGTCACTCGGATGATGTTATTTCAGAGATCTACAGCTGATTATAATATTTTATAAAATTCTGTGACTTTGTTCCCAATGACTATAGGGACCACTGAAATGTGTTTCATCTATGAGTTATTTCTTTTGCCAGGTCTCTGTATTTTGTTAACTTCTTCAATTCTTTATCTTCAACTCTGGCATCCACTGGAATTTCAAGACTTTCCTTAGTTCTATTACTGTTATGTCTGGTGTGTTAAACTCAAGGTGTCTGTCTCTCTGAATCTGCAAGTCCCCACAAGAGCTTAACTTGGTATTATTATTATTATCATCATTATTTGGATGAAAGATGAGATGGAGGTAATATCTGAAGAACGTGGACACTGTTGCTGAATCTTGGGCAGCAGGGGAAACAGGGAAGATCTTATTGTAGAAAATGGTACTTGTGCATTACAGTTTTCAGAGATCAACAACCTTGCCTTAGGCTGTAATAACAGAGCAATTGCTTCAGTGGCTCCAGACTGGTGTGTTTGTGGGAACCCTGTGGTGACAGCAGGAGAAAGCAAAGAATGCCTGACACTAGCCTTGGAACGGAAAGCCAAAAGCTGTCAGCTGCCTTCATTGATGGCTGCAGCAATAAGGAGACGGTGCGCAGGTGAGCTATAGTGTGTGGGGGGGATTCCCCCCTCACCCATCTTCCTCAGGTCTTTCTTTTAATTCCAGTTAGTGTTAAGAATTTCAGACTTCTAATTGTAGCTTCCCCTTGTGGCATGGGTGAGCCACAGAGTTCACTCTTGGTTTGTATGAGTAGTAGAGTAGTAGCCTTTGCCAAATCCAGTGCCTTGTTTTTTTTACACAAAATTAATATTAGGTATCTTCACTAATGGACCAAGAACTACCAGGGACTGAGAACTCCCAGAAGTACAAGTTGGATCTCGAAAGGGCAGAGGAACTAGAAACCAAATTGCTAACATGCGCTGGATTATGGAGAAAGCCAGAGAGTTCCAGAAAAACATCTACTTCTGCTTCATTGACTATGCAAAAGCCTTTGACTGTGTGGACCACAGCAAACTATGGCAAGTTCTTAAAGAAATGGGAGTGCCTGACCACCTTATCTGTCTCCTGAGAAATCTATATGTGGGACAGGAAGCAACAGTTAGAACTGGTCATGGAACAACTGAGTGGTTCAAAATTGGGAAAGGAGTACGGCAAGGCTGTATATTCTCCCCCAGCTTATTTAACTTATATGCAGAATACAGCATGCGGA